AAATAAATGTAACAATAAATATCCCCACAGGAAGGTCCAAGCTTTAAGCTCAGCTAAGCAGCATCAACCTCTGCCATATCCTGGGAAAATCCTTTTGGGCAGGAATGTGGAATTCCTCAGATACAACCAGCAGGGTGCGAAAAAAAACACTTTGGAAAGCAAACCAAAATTATGGAAGCAATGGGAGCAGCATTATTTTGATATTTTCAAGTTGTTAAGGTCATTACATCATTGGAAGAGAAGGGAAAAAATGGCTCAGAATTAAAAAAAAAAAAAAGACCCTGTTCTAAACCTGTTTTTGGCTGTCCTTTCTCCCACCACAAACAGCCCAAATCAAACCCAACTTTTATCTCCAGAGAAAGAATTCATTCAGAAAGTGATAAATGCACCAGCCTGGGAATGGATTGGGTTATGTAATATTTGTCCTGAATATTAATCAGCTTTTCCCACTCAAATCTTCAATCATAAGAGGGAGGAAAAAAAGCATGTAAATAATATTAATATTAAATGCAAATTCTGCTTTCCTTCATCACTCCAGCCTGCCTAAGCATAGATTTATTAGAGATTTGTTCAAAAATCCAGATATTTGCCCCACTTGATTTCTCAGATTCCTTGGTTATCCCTTTTTAATGAGTTTTCATAATTAAAATTTTATAATCTGGAAGATTTCACTCTCTGGGAGTTTTACCACACTCCTGATCTGCATTCAAAAGACAATTCCATGAAGTTGGTAAATTCCCACAGGGATTGGCCACCCTACCTGTTCAAACATCTTCTCCTAATGACTTTCCTAAAATTCCAAGAGTTTTTAGCTCACTAATCCCAGTCCCATTTGGGATGGGGAACGCTTCCTTCTCTCACAACAATTTTTATTTCATTATTAATACAATATTTGCATATAAATATTTCATCAGGCAGATATTTCCAGAGTAGACCCAGCACATTCCTGAGCTGCCAAATTGCCTTTCCAAGGCAGAAAAATTCCTTCTCCCATTCCCAGCTGCAAAGAAATCAAAAATCAAGGAAAGAGGACTCAGGGCTGGATTCTCCAGCTGATGGAAAACGGGAATAATGCATTTCTACTCCTCCACCTGAGATCATCATTCACCCCCATCTTTCTCCTGAATTAGCTCTGTTCCATTCCCAATCTAATCCCTGCAGGATGAGCCCCTTTTCCAGAAACATTTGGGATTTATTACCAAGGAAGAGCGAGACAAATAAAGCTGAGCTCCAACAGAACAGGAAATTCTGGAGCACCCCAATGTGGCCAGCAAAGCTCTGCCGGCCAGGCTTCCATGAAGTACCTTGGACGTTTTAAGAGCCTTTCCAAGGGTTTGGAGATGGGTGAGTTTGGGAATGGGTTTGGGCTCTAAACAGGATTTTATGGAGTGCAGAAGGAAAAGGGAGCTGGGGAGAACGATCCCGTCCTCACTGCTCTGATCACTTGGGAAGGGACATGATGGAATTGCTGCCCAAGGTGGCACCTGCTGGCACTTTCATGTCCTCAGCCTCCCCTGCAGCTGGAGAAGTGGGGCTGGAAAATTGTCCCTGTCCTCTGCCACCAGCAGAGTTTGATTTATTCCTTAAAAATTCATTTATCCACAATTGTGGCTGGAAGATCATAAAATGGAATCCCAGAGTGGTTTGGGTCGAAAAGGGGCCTTAAATCCCAGCCAGTGCCACCCCTGCCATGGCAGGGACACCTCCCACTGTCCCAGGGTGCCCCAGTGTCCAGCCTGGCCTTGGGCACTGCCAGGGATCCAGGGGCAGCCACAGCTGCTCTGGCAATTCCAGCCCAGCCAGGAATTCCCAGTTCCCAATCTCCCACCCAACCCATGATGGGAAATCTCATCTTGGAGCAATCTGGGACAGTGGGAGGTGTCCCTGCCCATGGAGCGGGTTGGAATGGGATGGGTTTGAAATTCCCTTCCAACCCAAACCATTCTGTGACTCCAGGATTTTCATTTTCCTACAGAAGTTTTAGGATTTAAGGCAAACACACACACACACAAAAAAAAAATCTTAAACCACAGCTCAAGGACAAATTGTGAGCGAGACCAAAAATCCATAATTTTCCTGGAGAACTCCCAGGCTGGGATCCTGACATCACTGAGATGGGATAAAGGGATGGCAGCAGAAAAGAGAAGTGAGGAAAACAAAAAACTCATTAGATTAGGGGGTCAAATAAAAAAAAAATCCTTTACATTTTAATTTCCTTTTCATTTTTCTTTAGCTTGACCCAGCAGATGTGAGGTGGAGCAGTAATTCCACAGAAGGATTTGGCCTGTGGAACAGATTCCCAGGGAATGAGCACATTCCCAAGGCTGCAGAGGGTGGGATTGTTGGGGTGCCTTTGCAGGGCCAGGGGTTGGATTTGTGATGCTTTTGGGTCCCTTCCCACTCAGGACATTCCATAATTCCTTGCAAATAGTTTAATTAACCCCGTTCTAATGAGACAAGGTCCTGCTGTCACAAGGAGAACCTTCCCAAGAATGGGAATGTTCTCACTCAGCACATCCACAGTGAAATCCATGAGTTATTCTCTAATTAAAGCGTTCCATTAAAAATCTTTCCCCGCTCATCACTGCCAGAAGCATCCAGGATAAATATTCCCAAATTCTGAAAAGAACTGGTTTTTATGACAATTGGTTAAATGCCACCGTCGGTACAGAAACGTTGCTCAAGTCGATGGGAACAAAAACTTTCCTCCCACAGGAAAAATAATCAAAGCTTTCCATAATTTTTCTCCATTCATCTCCAATTTGTCACTTGCCAGGATGTGAACAAAGGGAGCAGAATTCTAAACACGGAGAGATGAAAGGGAAAACGCCGGGAAATACCTGTTGAACTCCTACTTCTTGGAAGCATTTTCAGGTTGTGCCTCTTCTCTCAGAATTAGGAAAATTCTGCATCTCAAGCAGAACAAAAATGCATCGAAAGAAGTGGTTTGACAGCAGGAAAAGGTGGGGAAATGACAACAACCCCAGCAATGCATCCCCAGAATCTGAGAGTCAGCAGAGTCATCCCATGGGATCCACCAGGAACTGCCTCAGGTCCTGAGGAAGTGGGAAGCTGCTGGAATTTCTCAGCCACAAAATATTTTCTACTTTTCACAGCAAATTCATGCCAGAAAAAGGGGAAAGAATCTACTTCTCCCCTCCTTATTTAGAAGGATCAACACTCAACTGTTTCTGTGGTGGTTCTCGTTCCCAGATTCACGGAATCCTGGGATCATTGAGGTTGGGAATGAGCTCCAAGATCAGATTCTGTGCCCAATGCCCACCTTGTCCCCAGCCCAGAGCTCTCAGTGCCACCTCCAGGAATTCTTTGGACACATCCAGGGATGGGCACTCCAAACCAGAGGACAGATATTCACGGAATCATGGAATCATGAAGGTTGGGAAAGACCTCAAAGTTCATCCAACCATTCCCCAGCCCTGTCAAGGCCACCACTGCCCCATGTCCCCAGGTGCCACATCCACATGGATTTGAAATCCCTCCAGGCATGGGGACTCCACCCTGTACCTGTGCCAGGGCTGGGGAGCCCTTTGAGGGAAGAAATTTTCCCAAATATCCAATCTAAACCTCACAGAATCCCTGAGGCTGGAAAAGAGCTCCAAGATCAGAGTCCCAGCTGTGCCCAATGCCCACCTTGTCCCCAGGATCCCAGAGCTCTCAGTGCCACCTCCAGGGGACACCTGCAGGGATGGGCACTGCAACCCTCCCTGGGCAGTTCCTGAGCCCCCTTTCCATGGGGAAATTCCTGCTGTGCCCACCCTGAGCTGCCCTGGCCCAGCCTGAGGCCGTTCCCTCTGCTCCTGTCCCTGTGCCCTGGAGCAGAGCCCGACCCCCCCGGCTGTGCCCTCCTGGCAGGAGCTGTGCAGAGCCACAAGGGCCCCCTGAGCCTCCTTTGCTCCAGGAAAAAATGATTGAGCCGAGGACAGGAGGCACAGATCCCTCACTCTCAAGTTCCACCGGGATGAACCAGCTCCTAACCTCGACCCCACAACTGAGAGAAACCCACGGGGGAGAAGATTCCATCCTCCCTTCAGCCTCGACTTTGGGATTTAAAGCTGGAGCAGCAGGAAGAAGCTGGGGTGGAAGTCCTGCAGATCCCAGCCATGTAATCAATGCATCCATAATCTGTTACAAAGCAGAGCCAGGGAAAACAAATCAGTTGCTTATCAGCACTGAGGACGTGTGAGGAGCGGATCTTCCCTGGAGGCCCCAAAAGAGGTCACTTGTGCTGAGCACAGAGCGCTGCTAAAAAGCCAAGCGACAGAAGATTGGGGCGTCTGAAAGTGGAATAAATGAGGGCTGCACTTCATAAACCACCCAAATTAAGTCCTGACAGAGCAGCAGAGGCAGGGAAGTCACTCAGCCCAAAGAATGGCTCATTATCCCCCCCGTTATTCCCCAGAAGCCACCTCAAACCAGGCTTTCTGTGCTCTGACAACAAACACCGCACGTTTCCAAAATAAAAAATAACTGATTCCCCCCCTTTTCCCTCCCCATTCCCGAGGCTGGCTGGCAGAGCAGAGCAGGCTGGGTCTGGATGCGGATCAGCTCCCCGGAAACAGCTCTTGCCCTCCTTTTCCCCTCCTTGTTTTACACAGCAGCAACAAATGAGCTCAGGATCAGCTCAGCATTTAGAGAAATATGTGCTCCCATCTCATCTGCTTGTTCCTCTGTCAAGGAATTCAAAGCTGTGGGGAAAATAATGATTGCCTCACACTTGGTTGGGGTTTTTTTGTTTTGGTTTTTTTTTTTTCTGGTTTTGTTTTGTCTTTTTTTTTTTACCAGAAATGAGACTCCTATGTCATTTTTACTTCCACATTTACATGGAATTCATGGATTCAGGGAACTACAGAGACAAACAACCCCACATCAAATATGTAACAGCCATAAGACTCTTGCCGCTGTTTGTTTAGGTGAGGAATAAATCAGCTTTTTCTCAGCACAACAAAGAGAAAAACGAGGGAAACCGAGGCTTTACTCACACTGCACGATGAGCTGCACCAAGGCCTCCCTGGGTTTGACATTGAACCCGTTGTACTGGCTGGTCTGGCACCGGTAGGTCCCGCTCATTTCCCGGGAAACGTTGACGATCCGCAGGATCCCGTCGTAGCTCTCGGTCTGCAGGGCCCCGTCGGGCATGGCCACCTCCTTGTCAGCCCGTGACCACAGGATGATGGGTTTGGGCTTCCCTGTCACCTGGCACTGCAGCTCGATGGTGTCCCCTTCCCGCGTCACCAGCGGGGACTTCTCCTGAGGCACCGTCAGGTTGGGGGGCACTGGGAAGGGCAGAGGAGAGGGGTCAGCAGTCAGGCACCGGGCATGGATTTCCTGCTCAGGATCATCCATGGGAAAGGGGATTTATCCACAGCAACGTGAGGGTTGTGCTCTTTGGAAGCTCCCACATTTATTTCCCAGCAGCCTGGAGAGCCTCAGAGGAGATTTCCCCGCCCTGCTGTGACACCCGTGCCCTCCCAGTGCTCCCAGTGCCCTCCCACCATCGCTCACTCCCCCACTGCCACTTCTGCTTTCCTTTAAAGGATCATTTGGCACTAAATCCCGTTTTTTTAGAGCAGCCTGGCTGCTGTTTTTTTTATCCAGCCCGTGGATAAATGGCTGTGGATGAGGAAGGGTTGTGGCAACAGAGAAATCACCTCAGAACTGGAGGCCTGACTCCAAAATGCTGCTGGGGTCTGTCACTGGACGCTCATCCAAGTGGTGTTTATTCCATGGGGACTGGCATTAACAATTCCAAAGGGACACTGGAATTATTGCCAGCAGCCCCATGGAGCAGGATCACCTCACAGTGAGCAGGTGATGGCCAAGGACACCAAGGATGTGGATGTGTGGGAGCAAATCCAGAGAAACCCATGGAGCTCCTCCAAGGGCTGGAGCTGCTCTGGAGCCAGGCTGGGAGAGCTGGGAATGTTCCCCTGGAGAGGAGGAGAAGGCTCCAGGGAGAGCTCAGAGCCCCTGGCAGGGCCTGAAGGGGCTCCAGGAGAGCTGGAGAGGGACTGGGGACAAGGGATGGAGGGACAGGAGCCAGGGAATGGCTCCCAGTGCCAGAGGACAGGGTTGGGTGGGAGATTGGGAACTGGGAATTCCTGGCTGGGCTGGGATTGCCAGAGCAGCTGTGGCTGCCCCTGGATCCCTGGCAGTGCCCAAGGCCAGGTTGGACACTGGGACAGTGGGAGGTGTCCCAGCCTTGTTTGGAAAATGCTTGGAATGCTGTGGTGTGGGTGGAGAGATGGAAAATCCCGATTTAAACACTGCCCACCCTCCTTTTCCTTTGGCGCCTCCTGAAAACTCATCTTTCCTGATGGATCTCCTGTCCTGCAGCAAGGACAGACATTCCCTGTGGGAACACAGCCCCTCCAGGAGCTTTTCCTCTCCTCCCAGTCCTTCCCTCAGCTCCTTTCCTGGAATGCCAGGCCTGACAAAACCCAGCCTGCGCCTCCCTCCTGTCTGCAGGAAAAATATTCCCAAAGCAGTTTTCAACCCCCAAGGGACAGAAACAACAAACTCGTCCCAGTGAGAAGCAATTCCGGCTTTCTCCTGGGATCTGCTCCCTGTCTCCAGCCCTGACAAGCCTGGTAGGAATCAGAGTTGAAATCTGGGCCTTTCACGGGAACCCAAGTGCTGCTTTCAGCTGTTTTGAAGGCTTTAATAGCTCCTGTCAGGTGGGACAGGCAGACATGGGAAGAGCTTTTTCCACAGGGAAGGGAAGGGAAAATTATTTTATACTTAAAAAAAAAATCAGGAAAAATTAAAAAGAAATAAACAACAACTGCTTAATAAAACATTTCCAATATTAATAAAACATTATTAATTCTCTGTTATGTGGTTTTGTGCCACAGCAGGTTCTGAGCACAGGAAAATTCCCAGGGGGGCTGGAGCACTGTGAAGTCATGGACCAAAGTGGGAGAAAGGTGCTGTTCCAAGGAGGAAAATACAGTTTATAGGGAAAGGTGCCTGCCTGCAGCCAGGATTTTCCAGCTCACCTGGCTTGTGGCTCCTCAGCTGAGGGCAAATGTGACAGAGGCCTTTGTGGATCAGGAAAAATCCTGGATTTGTCCTTTCCCAGCCTGTGCAGTGGATCTGCTCCTGGCTGGGACTGGCGGGATCCAGGCCTTTCCCAGCTGGATGGATGCTGGAGGCTTCCCTGGGAATCACAGCCTACCCTGGCTCAGGGATTCACTGCCCTCCAGAGCTGAGGGGTCACTGGGATGAGATCCCCGATGTCCTGAGGTCCCTGTGATCCCAACATCCCAAGGGAAAAGCCCCGGGCCAGCCCACCCAGCTCTGCTGCAGCCCCAGCTGGGGCCAGGATGGGAATTCTCCCTCTGGGAATTGTCCCTGTGGAGCTATCGCTGGACACAAGGTGCTGGCAGCCCCATCCAGATCCCAGCATTTCCAGGGATTCCAGGCTGTGTGAGAGCAAAAGGTGAGCAAAAAATTATCCAATCCCAGCCTGGGAATGCAATCCCAGAGTGAGCTATCCAATCCCAGCCTGGGAATCCAATCCCAACCTGGGAATCCAATCCCAACTTGAGTTATCCAATCCCAAACTGGGAATGCAATCCCAGTCTGAGCTATCCAATCCCAAACTGGGAATCCAATCCCAGTCTGAGTTATCCAATCCCAAACTGGGAATCCAATCCCAATTTGAGTTATCCAATCCCAGCCTGGGAATGCAATCCCAGCCTTGGAATCCAATCCCAGTCTGAGCTATCCAGTCCAAACCTGGAAATCCAATCTCAACCTTGGAATCCAATCCCAGTTTGAGCTGTCCAATCCCAGCCTGGGAATCCAATCCCAGTCTGAGCTATCCAATCCCACTCTGAGCTATTCAATCCCAGTCTGAGTTATCCAATCCCAGCCTCAGAATCCAATCCCAGCCTGGGAATCCAATCCCAGCCTGGGAATGCAATCCTAGTCTGAGCTATCCAATCCCAACCTGAGAATCCAATCCCAGCCTGAGCTATCCAATCCCAACCTAGGAATCAGCCAATCCCAGTCTGAGCTATCCAATCCCAGCCTGGGAATCAGCCATTCCAGCTGGGACAAGGCAGGAAACTTGGGGAAAAAACAAGGAGCACATCCATGTTTGGAGGGGGGGAAAAAAGCAGATCCACGACGAAAATCCCCCGTGCAAGTGCAATCGTTCCCCCTCTTTTCCCACCAGTTTTTCCTGAAAAAGCAGAGATAACAGCGCAGCAAAAAAAGAGCTGCACCTCGCAGATAAGGAGCTCCACCACGAGGGTGGTGACAGCTGATAAGGAAGGCTCTGTCAGTGTCCCAGATGGAAAGATCCCCTCCAATCCCTGACTCCTCGTCCCCCGTGGCATTTTGCAGTGCCTGTCACTGTGAGGCAGCTGAGAGCTCGTTATGGTTCCCAGGATTTATTCCTGCTGTTCCTGGAAGCAGCAGAGGGGACAGCAGAGACAAGGCCATCCATTAGGATGAAGAATTCCAGGGGCATTGCCATCAATCCAAAGCCTGGCTGCACCTCTGGGTCACATTTGAGTAACAATGAGGTCCCACCGAGAATTTCTCTGTCCCCACCTCATTTATGGCTCCAGCTCCCCCAAATTCAGACCTCTCTAATTAGAGGGAGAAAAAGCCCCAAATCTTTGCTCAAAGATGAAGAATTCCAGGGGCATTGCCAAAAATCCAAAGCCTGGTTGCACCTCTGGGTCACATTTGAGGAACAGTGACCAAAACAATGAGGTCCTGACAAGAATTGTTTGGTCCCCACCCCATTTATTGTCCCAGCTCCCCCAAATTCAGACCCTCTAATTAGGGGGATTCTCCACTCTCTAATTATAGGGAGAAGAAGCCCCAAATCTTTGCTCAGGAATGGAGAATTCCAGGGGCATTGCCATCAATCCAAGCCCTGGCTGCATCTCTGGGTCACATTTGAGTAGCAACGAGGTCCCACCGAGAATTTCTCGGTACCCCACCCCATTTATGGCCCCAGCTCCCCCAAATTCAGACCTCTCTAATTAGGGGGATTCTCCACTCTCTAATTATAGGGAGAAAAGGCCCCAAATCTTTGCTCAAAGATGAAAACTTCCAGGGGCAATGCCATCAATCCAAAGCCTGGCTGCGCCTCTGGGTCACTTTTGAGTAACAACGAGGCCCCACCAAGAATTTCTGTCCCAATCCCATTTATGGCTCCAGCTCCCCCTAATTTAGACCCTCTAATTTCTCTAATTAGGGGGATTCTCCACGCTCTAATCAGGGGGAGAAGAAAGCCCCAGACCTTTGCACAGGAGGGTTTTTGGCAGGGTTTCCCCTTTCCAGCCCAGCCATTTGTTGTCACAACCTCACAGGTATTTAATTATCTCTGAGCTGTCTGTTCCACTGGCAAATGTAGCTGGAATTAGCAACAGGCAGAAAAAATAAATCCCTGTTTTTGGGGAAGGGTGACACAGCAGGCCCTGGCAGCCTGGGCACGTGGGATTTGTCTCCGTGAGCAATCCACCTCTAAAGGATTGAGGAGAAAATAAAAACTGGATTTTTCTTTTCCCCCAAAGGTTTCAGGAGACCCCAGAGCAGGGAATGGTGAGTCTGGGTGAGCAAGGTTAGGAACAGGGAATCATGGAATTGTTCAGGTTGGAAAAGCCTCTGAGACCATTGAGTCCAACAGTTCCATGGCCACCACTGCCCCAAATGCCACATCCAGAGGGATTTTAAATCCCTCCAGGGATGGGGACTCCACCCCTGCCCTGAGCTGAAGAACCCTTTCCAAGCAGGAATTCTCCCTGATATCCCAACTAAACCCTTTCCAAGCAGGAATTCTCCCTGATGTCCCAACTAAACCCTTTCCAAGCAGGAATTCTCCCTGATATCCCAACTAAACTCTTTCCAAGCAGGAATTCTCCCTGATATCCCAACTAAACCCCTTCCAAGCAGGAATTCTCCCTGATATCCCAACTAAACCCCTCCTGGCACAACTTGAGGCCGTTTCTTCTCTTTCCACCCCTTGTGCAAGGATGAGCAGGCAAAGGTGGCTCCGGGGGCTCAAATCCCTGAGGAAAGGAGCGGGAGTGAACCAAGGATGGGCCAGCCAAGGTGCTGCCAGTGGGATGGGCAGGGAGGGGTGCCAGGCAGGTGTCCCCAGGCTGTCCCCAGGCTGTCCCCAGCTGTGCCAGCTGCTGTGGCACAAGGAGAGCCCTGGAGGGCTCAGCCTCTTCCCGAGGGCTCCTGCAGCTCCAGAGGGTGCTCCAAGGAAAGGGCAGCTCTGCCCCTGCTTTGCAGAATGAAAAGGTACCCA